AATTGGCTTTTGAATTAATTACATTAAGCGGATAATTTAAAATTAACTTATTTATGTGTTACGAGCTTAAAACGAATCGTCCAGCAAGTTACCAAATTTGATGCAATGCACTGGATAAAATGTATACATCTTGCGAAAGCCGAATGTCAAGCACCCCCAGAAACGCGAACAAAGTGCATTCTCGTAAACATCAGAGCGAAATGGGAACGTCCTCGTACTGTAGGCTGCATTTAAACACAACTGTAGTAAATTGCATGGAATCCTCCGTTTCAATTCATTCATATTTGGCGGCAATGCGCTTTGTCCACCTTCATATTACACCACATGCATAGCGCATGCGTTCCAACATCACTATGCATTCATGGTTGTTAGAAGGTCACAGCTTACTTGACCTAACGTGAGAAACGTAAATACTGAAAGACTCCAATATTAGTCTCTGAAATGTAAAATACTGTTACGTGTAGGGTGGTACGCAGATGTATAGTTAACATTTAATGTCAAAAAATATATAACTGCATTACAACACAATCAGGAAGGTCAATAAATACATAAGATAAATGTACATTGCGATGCCATCTATTATCAGTCTTCTACAACAAGTAGCGGTAAACTTGACTTTGCTTCGGGCATCATTAATTTTTTTTCTTTTATAACAAATTGTGGATTTACTGTCATACGAGGCCGCACCATAGCTCAAGCGGTTAGTCGCTGGCTTCCCACCGCGGCGGCCCTAGTTCGATCCCGGGTCTAGTCAAGTGGGATTTGTGGTGGACAAAGGGGCGCAGGGGCAGGTTTTCTCCGAGTACTTAGGTTTCCCCTGCCAATCTTCATTCCACCAATTGCTCCACAATCACCCTCACCTATTATCTGGGGCTGGTACAATAGGCCAGAAGTGGCTGCAGTACAAGGGACTTAGTTCTACCCCACTAGCAACAAAAAAAATAATGTCATACCAAACGACCAGATTTTCTAATACATTCACACACAAAACAACTGTCACTATACAATCTGAAGTGACAATAAAACTTACATTATTATTATTATTATTATTATTATTAGTAGTAGTAGTAGTAGTAGTAGTAGTTATTGTTGTTGTTGTTTTGGTGATAAAGTCATCAGGCGTGAAGCTGACTACTCATCTCCATTTAGTGCCGAGGTCAGTAATTGTGGAGGTCTACCTCCAATACCCATGCGGCTAATGGTGTAGTGCTTAATTAATGAAGCCCAGGGGTCATATCAGCAGTTAAGAGGGTAGAGTTCGTTAATGATAGGATATCACATATAATACTAGAAGGTCGCTGGTGTGATATCATCATTATGAATGTTCACGCTCCAATAGAAGATAAAATTAATGACATAAAGGACAGGTTCTATGAAGAACTAGAACACATATTTGATAAATTCCCGAAGTACCCTATGAAAATTTTGCTAGGAGATTTCAATGCCAAAGTATGGAGGGAAGACATTTTCAAACAAACGATTGGGTATGAGAGTTTGCACGAAATTAGTAATGATAATGGAGTTAGAGTAGTAAACTTTTGCCACATCAAAAAATCTTATTGTCAAAAATACAATGTTCCCACATCGTAACATCCATAAATTTACCTGGACATCTCCTGATGGGAAGATACACAATCAAATAGACCATAGTTTTATAGACAGGAGAAGGCACTCAAGTGTACTTGATGTCCGATCGTTCAGGGCAGCAGATTGTGATACTGACCACTACCTGGTGGTGGCAAAGGTTAGGGAAAGACTGGCAGTGAGCAAAAAAACAACGCACAGAGTTCATATGAAGAGGTTCAATCTCAAGAAATTAAATGAGGTAGAGAGTAAAGAGCAGTATCGTGTTGAAATCTCAAATAGGTTCACAGCCTTGGAAAACTTGGACACTGAAGCGGATGTTAATAAAGCTTGGGAAACTATTAGAGAAAATATAAAAATTTCTGCCAAGGAGAGTCTAGGTTATTGTGAACTGAAGAAGCATAAGCCATGGTTTGATGATGGATGCTCAAAATTACTAGACCAAAGAAAACAAGCCAAATTGCAATGGTTACAGGATCCAAGCGAGTTAAATAGGGATAATCTGAAACACAAAATCGATGAGCTTGCAATGAACAGTAAGAACAAGAACATTAGAGACCTGTATAGAGGAATAAATGACTTTAAGAGGGGTTACCAACCTAGAAGTAACTTAGTGAAGGATGAGAATGGTGATCTGCTTGCAGATTCCCACAACATTTTGAATAGGTGGAAGAACTACTTCTCTCATTTATCGAAATGTACATAGGGTCAGTGATGTTAGGCAGATAGAAATGTACACAGCTGAGCTGTAAATACCTGATCCCAGCCCTTCTGAGGTTGAAATTGCTATTGCAAAATTGAAAAGGTATAAATCGCCAGGTAGTGATCAAATTCTGGCAGAACTTGTTCAAGCAGGAGGCAAAATATTACATGCTAAGATCCATAAGCTAATTACTTCTATTTGGCATAAGGAAAAATTGCCTGATCAGTAGAAGGAATCTATTATTGTAACAGTTCCCAAGAAGGGTGTTGAAACTGACTTGTAATTATCACTGCTATCAACTGCATACAAAATTTTATCCAATTCTTCACTCAAGGTTAAGTCCATATATAGATGAAATTACTGGGGATCATCAGTGTGGGTTTCAATGTAATGGAACAACTACAGATCAGATCTTTTGCATTCGTCAGATATTGGAGAAAAATGGGAGTACGATGAGACAGTACATCAGCTATTCGTAGACTTCGAGACAGCCCATGATTAAGTTATGAGGGAAGTATTGTACATTATTCTAATAAGAGTTCCGGATACCCATAAAACTAGTTACGCTGATTAAAATGTGTTTAAACAAAACTTATAGTGAAGTCCATATAGGTAAACATCTGTCTGATAAATTTCTTATCCAGAATGGTCTATGACAAGGAGATGCTTTATCACCACTCCTTTTCAACTATGCCATTAGGAAGGTCCAGGAAAGCCAAGTGGGACTGAAATTAAATGGGACACATCAGCTGCTGAGCTATGCCAATGATGATGTGAATCTACTGGGCGATAATACAGATACCATAAAGAAAAAAAAAATTAATTGTCGCATGTAAGGAGGCTGGCCTGGAGGTAAACACAGAGAAAACTAAGTACATGTTGCTGTGTTGTCACCAAAATGCAGGGCAAAATCATGACATAATGATAAAAAACATATGTTTTGAAAATGTGGCACAGTTCAGATATTTTGGAACGACAATAACAAATCAAAACTTGATTGAGGAGGAAGTTAAGAGGAGACTGAACTCGGGTAATGCTTGCTAGCATTCAGTCCAGAACCTTGTATTCTCGTCTGCTGTCCAAAAGCATAAAAATTAGAATATACAAAACTATAATTTTGCCTGTGGTTCTGTATGGGTGTGAAACTAGGTCTCTGACATTAAGGGATGAACACAGACTGAGGGTGTTTGAGAACAGGGTGTTGAGCAGAATATTTGGACCGAAGAGGGACGAAGTAACAGGAGGTTGGAGAAAACTCCATAATGAGGAGCTTCATAACTTGTGATCTTCTCCAAGTAAAAATTAGAATGATCAAGTCAAGGAGGATGAGGTGGGCAGGGCATGTAGCACGAATGGGGGAGAAGAGGAATACATATAGAATATTGGTGGGAAAGCCAGAAGGAAAGAGACCACTGGGAAGACCAAAGCATAGGTGGTTGGACAATATTAAAATGGATCTTATAGACATAAGATTGGATGGTATGGATTGGATTGATCTGGCTCAGGATACGCACCAGTGAGGGCTCTTGTGAACATGGTAATGAACATTCGGGTTCCATAAAATGCTGGGAAATTCTTGAGTAGCTGCAGATTTGGTTTCTCCTCAAGAAGGGCTCAACTCCATAAGTAAATAAACATTCCTATATGAAAATTACATTGGACAGAACTTGGAAGTAATGTGGACGGCAAATTTTAATATGAAATCAGAATTATGAAAAATATGTAGAATATGGTGCTACAAATACTGATAACTTCTTGCATATGATCAAGTCAAATATCTCCAAATATATTAACAATGTTATTATTTTGTCAAAAAATCACATTTTGTATTTGCAAACCAAAAAGAGTGCACGTCTCAAGTAAGGAATCAATTTTAGTCATCACAGGAAAAGTGAACTAAAAACAGACCTCATTCTACACCGTGCAAGAAATAAAATAAAATAATCACCAAATACAGCAAAATCTGAAGTACCTGAGATATGCAAAGCAAATCCACTGGTTTGAAAATAAATTTGGAGGAAGTGAACACAAAGCTTCAGAAACATGGAAATAAAACTATAACAATTAGAGATATAAAGAGTGGACTTACTTAAAATTGACAAGGTATTATTCGAGATCTAAGCATCAGATGTTGCCTCTCTTGAATGACACAAATTATTTCAGTAAACAAGACTAGTATAAAATCACAGATCCTATAATTTCACTAAACAAATTAATTAACACTCATGGACACAGTGATATTTAATATTACAAACAAATTTAAGCCTGTGGTATACTTTACATTGATATTAGTATTATTTGTGTTATACAGTTAATCATTAAACACCAGAAGCTTGTTAAACACAGTATCCATTCAAGAGCACAGCAATAATTTGCTGCTGGCCCTCATCAGCACAGGAATTGTTGGTTTCAGGTCCCATCAGGGCTTACGACCAAATTTCTGTTTGTTCCAAGGCCACATATGTGTGTGGAATTTGGGACCCCATTTCGATGAGAGGAGGGATTGGTCTTTCTGGGTAGGCATCACATTTGTGGCTAGTAACCCCATTCACACAGCTTCCACTTATCCACTTTACTACAATAAATAACTTTTATAAGATACACAGATGATCTTTGTCAACGCAGGCTTATGCATACCAGTTAGGGGCAGTGTGATAAAATATATATGCCCGCATTTAACGTGTTATGAGTACTCAGAGTTAAAACCACTAACCTCCGTTTGGGCTCCTTGTACCCTGGGATGATGGCGCAATTCTTTTCTCACCTCTTCTAAATATTCCTGGATTTACGGTCCTTCTTCGGCGTCGTAGATATCGCGCCAGAAATCCAATTAATGCAAAACCTACTGTCACCGATATCACAGTAACCTAAAACATCAAACGTTAAAACACATGTCATTCATTAATCTCCATATCAAGAGAAACAATTCATTACTCTTTAACGAACACGGCCCGGTATTCTAAATACATATATAGTTTAACAATTATGGATATAAACTTACCTTCTGTGGTACTGACAACGACAGGTTCCTGAACGGTATAAGAATTCTCAAGTTCGACAAGTTGGTAATGACTGGATTCAGTGGAGTCCCAAATGACATAATGGACAGCTCTGTTAAACTTTAGTCTGTATGTCAATCACAAAACTTTATTTATCTTCAAGTTATACGTGTACCATTCACACAAAAGTTGAAATCGAAATCTTCATATATAGCAGACTACATCTGTCATGTGGCCGAGTTCACGGAAGGCACTGCTTAATCTTGATTCAATGGCTTTAACTGAACTACTCTGTAAGAGAGTTTAATACATGAAAAACTTCTGTTAGCAACGCAAAACTGGCTACTAAGCCTTCAGGTATCGCGCTTTTCATAAACGGGTTAAATGATAAAATCCATGGAATGTGAAACCGGGCACAACATTAACATACCGCGGCTTCAAGTTCGTCTGTGTATACTGTGCAACTATAAAAGTAAAGCGTAGGTAACCCTGTAACAGGCCGTGGAGGCCCATAGGGTTATGAGATGTTGAGGTTCCCACATTTTCTAGACAATTGGATCATAGATGGCAGCAAAGTTGTCAGCCCTACGCGCCGGCCGCCCTTTACCCCCCAAAATATTCCTGGTATTCATTTCTGCTAGAGGCTGAGTCGACCCCAGGGTCATAATGCAGCTGGAAGGATTAGGTCAACTGAAAAAAAATCCAATGACCTCATCGGGACTTGGTCCCGCGACTTTCCGGCTTGTAGCATAGTGCCTCAACCAACTACGCTACCGCGTACCCCGAAAGTCATATTGCGACTGAAGGTCAGTCAGTCAGTAAGTGTTAGTGTCGAGCCCGATACTGTTTGACTGTTAGGGTCTTGTATTTTGTTGGGCGTACCCCCACATTGTGCAACTATTATAAATATCATAGAAAAGTTCACCAATGTGGGGTGTCGTTATATGAAGAGACAACCACTTGTTGAACTGTTCTATAATATTTATTATAGCTGCACAGTATACACAGACGAACTCGAGTTTGATGAATAATGATAACTATAGTGAACTCTGTAACACCTTAAACGACGTATTGAAACGCAACACTGAACTAGAACTGTAAACTGCCACTCAATGTATCTTCTCATATAACCTAGAGTAGGGTTTATAGAAAACATGTCACTGTCCGTATTGTTGACGACTTTGCCTAGCACCGGCTGTTTACTTAGCCGTTGTTGGCAGCGAATGCTTTCTACCTTTCGATTGGCTAGCGCACGATCCCCCATGAGTGCTTCCCATAGTCGCATATTGTTGTAGATCTTACATAGCAACGACTGTTTACTCGCCGTTGCTAAGCAATGGTACCTGAACTGTCACTGTAACGTTTGCTTGAATGTTGGCAGTTCCCACAGATCCATACTCAGACCTTGCAGCCGTCTTTTAGTTCTGATCGTTCTGATACTAGCCTTTAGGTGTCAGGGATGATTGTGTGTACAAATATGGCGGTGTGAGTTGTAGTGGAATGGCTCGTTGCTTGAAATCGCAGCTATCGCTTTGCTTGAAACGTGGGTAATTAAAGTTCGAAGAAAAACAACATGAACTCATATAACCCTACTGGATCGTTCATCAGATTTGAAAGCACAATAGATGATCTTCCTGATGAAGTGCTCGAGTATATTCTCAGTTTAGTTGCTCCATACAAAGATTTGCAAGAATGTTCGTTGGTATGTAAAAGGTGGCAACGAAATGTGAAAAGTAAGTAATACTATACAACATTAGCGGTATTTAATATAAATTTAATTCGTCGTAATGATCTGTCATATTTATGTTGATTACAGACGTCATTCGGCATGCACAGAAAAGCTTGAACCGAGCCATATCAGACTTCAATATTAGATGGGAAAACATAACCCCAGCTGAAATGGCTCCATCGATCACCAAACGGTATTCCCATTCAGCATGCCGGTATGGTACGTAGTACTGTCATTACAGATTCATGAACTTGTAATTGTGTATGCACGTTACGGTTAATACATCATGCCTTATCAATTTGTTACAGAGAATTCCATGTATATTTTTGGAGGTTGTACATCTACAAGTACTACTTTTAATGATATGTGGCGGCTTGACCTTAACAAACGGCAGTGGGTGAGACCACTCACAATGGGAACTTATCCTTCACCAAAGGCATGCGCTTCTCTTGTTTGTTATAAAGAAGCACTAATATTGTTTGGTGGTTGGACACATCCATCACCTTACCCTCTTCATCAGGTACAGAATGTCTTTCAGAACAAGTATATTGTGGATGCCTTAAGTAATCAGTTGTAACATTATATTTATGTATTTACATTTTCAGGCATGGAGGTTATTTAATGAGCTTCATGTTTATGGCATTGTGTCCAACAGATGGACATGCATCAACACGCAAACTACTCCTCCTGCTATGGCTGGTCACTCTGCTACAGTTCAGGGAGAGTGGATGGTTGTATTTGGTGGACTCCAAAAAACTAATGTCTTATTAGGACAGTATGGAAGGTGAAAATTTTTCTATGTGATTGATATTTTCATACTGAAGTATAACTCATCAAGTATGGCATGTTAGGAGCTTATGTTAAAAGAACCTGCAACCCTGAAAACGTGGAATGTTGTGAATATTCCTGTAAACAAACTAGTACTTCAAAGGAATAGTTTGGAAGAGAAATGTTTGTATATTAATGGGCAGAGTATGATGGTATGTCAGACAGCAGACATATATATCTTGATTGGATTTTATATATTGAAATTTAAAAATATTCAAAATAAAGTCAAATTATTATTAAATTATCATGGTTATACTAGGTGGTTCAAATATGACCGGGACTGATTTTTTTGTAAACAAGCCGCACTGCGCAGCAGCTGTGCGACCTTGAGAGAGTGAAGCCACAACCTCCACCCTCCCTCCTGTTAGGGTTAGAACCTGTTCAGTCCTGTCTGGAAGTTGCTAGAGTGATGAGTGAACAGAAGCTATTGCGGAGTGTGGAACAACGCATTGTGATCAAATTCCTCGGAGAAAATGTCCCGTCCGCTGAAATTCACCACAGACTCCAACAACAGTATGCGGAAGAGTGTCTCTCACGGACCTGTGTGTTTGAGTGGTGTAAGTGCTTCAGAGAGGGCAGAGAGTGCGTGGAGAATGAACCGCATGATCATTGGCTGCGAACATCCGTCACCAAGCCAAACATTTATCGTGCAGATGCACTTATTCGTGAGAATAGGCGCATCACTATCAAGGAGCTTTGTGCAATGATGTCCATCAGTGTTGGTAGTGTAGAAGACATGAAATACCACCTGCACTATCTCAAGGTGAATGCACGGTGGGTACCACACACTTTGACGGACGTGAACAAAATGATGCGCATGCAATATGCCAGTCATCTCCTACAGCAGTTTGAAGACAAAGGTGATGCATTTTTGAAGTCTGTAGTGACCACCGATGAAACGTGGATGCACTACTTCATTCCCTAGTCCCAGCAATCACCATGCGAGTGGTGGCATACCAGTTCTCCCAAACCCAAGAGAGCAGGAAGGAGCTGTTCGGCAGGAAAAGTGATGGCAACGTTCTTCTGGTACTGGCAGGGGGTTATCCATGTAGACTTTCTGACAGATGCTAGAACAGTCAATGCAGCTTATTACTCAGACCTCCTGGCAACAGACATGAAGGAAAAGATCCGATCCAAGAGGAAGAGAGGTGGAAAGCGGGTAGCCTTCCTTCAAGACAATGCATGCCCCCATACGGCCAAAACAACAATGGAAACCGTCCAGAAATTGAAATGGAACCTTCTGACACATCCGCCGTATAGTCCCAATTTGGCACCAAGTGATTTCTACTGTTCGGAAGGCTCAAATCAGACTTGCAAGGCACGCAGTTTGTGGACGACGACGCCGTCATCCAGAATGTTTCGGAGTGGATACGTCGCCAACCACAAAAATTTTTTGAAAAGGACATCAGGATGCTTCCAGAACGTTGGAAAAAATGTGTTGATTCCAGAGGGGAGTACGTTGAAGACTGACATGTGCAAGTAAGTGTTTGGCAATTTTGGTTTAAAAAAAAAAATCAGTCCCGGCCATATTTGAACCACCTTGTATATTGTACTTAAAAGCAAGACTTCCTGTAATGAAAACATGTAACTGTGAAATTTTTTGCCCAGTAAATTTACCAGCAAGACACTCCTGAGGTACTATACAGTTTATCTTATCATTTTATCTATAAATTTGTATTATTCACTAATATGCAGGCAAGTTTATTTTCTCTTCTGCCTTGTATTTGTAAGGAACATACAATGTAAACTCAATGCTTGATGTGAAAATCACGTTTTAAGTCAATTATGTGATAGTATCAGTATGAAAACTATAGTGTCAGATGATAGAATGAATGATGAACTTCCAAATATGTGGAAGGAAATGGCTGGGGTCAACCGAAGGTACTATCCCAGCATTTGAATGGAGGGACCGAGGAAAATCACAAACACCTTGGTGAGAATGGCCAGTGTCCCAGCCAAGATTCAAGCCAAGCACCTCCTGAATACAGTCTAAAGAGTGTTACGGCTACAGCAGCCTACTGGGAACCAAAATTTTTTATTGCTGTTTTGCATGCAAAGTGTTTTTATGTTTGAGTAACTGTCTGCCATTTTAAAACAGAATAATTTTGAGAGATTTTTCTTATGAGCATTAAAAATTATTCTCATTAATCTATATATGGCATGTAATTTTCATATCAAAAGGTGTCTACAACATATCATTCTGTGTAATATTCCTACATCTATGAAATGAACTTGTAGTCAGTTTTCTTATTTATAGGAAATAAATTAAAATTTTCTTATCTTTTTTAACTTATAAGGTCTAAGACTTCGCAACCTTAATATATACTAGTACTGTTAATACATTACTACTCTACAATTAAATCATTCTTGGCAATTAAATAGATCAATGATCATTGTACAGCAACAAACAACTGGCATGTGTTGGATGACACGACTACATAACTTCGGAGGTCTGTATCAGCTGTTGGAATTCAGTTTGTTTGTGGCTGTACTGTGTTTCCACTCGCATGGTGTCTGTTTGTCAAAAACAAGCTTGATAAATTGTTAACATCAGATTTTCAGTGAAACTGGAGCAGAATACCATTGACACACAATGGTATGGAGAGGAAGCAAAGAGTAGAACAAAGGTTTGATGGAAATGTGTAATCTGTTAAGTGAACGAACTGAACACCTTTGTTGCAGTTCCAATGATGTGTGGTGTTTCAACCTGGAAAATCAAACATGGAATAAGCAAGCTACCACTGAAATCAAGCCTCACTCAAGATATGGGCAATCCCAGATCTCACTGGATGACAGACATATACTGATACTGGGTAATCTTTAAATGTTACTGTACGTCATATTCTACACACTTGATGTTTGGAACACTGTTGGATCATAGCTACATAGAATACTGATAGCCCTCTACCTATGGTGTACACTGTTGCAATTAGACATTGAAACGAAGTCCGACTGTTAAGTTTTGTAATATTTCCAGAGCATTTTATGGAACCCGAAGGTTCATTACCATGTTCACAAGAGCCCTCCACTGGTCCCTATCCTGAGCCACATCAACCCAATCCATACCATCCCATCCTGTCTCTCTAAGATCCATTTCAATACTGTCCACCCACCTATGCCTTGGTCTTCCCAGTGGTCTCTTTCTCTCTGGCTTTCCCACCAATATCCTATATGTATTCCTCTTCTCCCCCATTCGTGCTACATGACCTGCCCACCTCATCCTCCTTGATTTGGTCATTCTAATTATACTTGGAGAAGAGTACAAGTTATGAACCTAATTATGCAGTTTTCTCCAACCTTCTGTCACTTCATCTCTCTTCAGTCCAAATATTCTCCTGAACACCCTGTTCCCAAACACCCTCAGTCTATGTTCCTCCCTTAATGTCAGAGACCAAGTTTCACACTCATACAGAACAAGAGGCAAAATTGTAGTGCTGCATATTCTAATTTTTAAGTTTTTGGACAGCAGACGAGAAGACAAAAGGTTCTGGACTGAATGGTTGCAAGCATTACCAAAGTTCAATCTCCTCTCAATTTCCTCCTCAATCACGTTTTGATTTTTCATCGTAGTTCCCAAATATGTGAACTGTGCCACATTTTCAAAAGATCTGTTTCCAATCGTTATGTCATGACTTTGCCCTGCATTTTTGTGACGAGACAGCAACTAAGGTTTGTGTGTTTCTCTCTTTATTGTATCTATATTATCACCCAGTTGATTTACATCATCGGCATAGACCAACAGCTGATGTGTCCTGTTTAATTTCAGTCCCACCTGGTTTTCCTGGACCTTCCTAATGGCATATTCTAAAACATTTAAACATATGTACTATAAATACAGTCAGACTGTAATATGCTGTAACATTCATCCTGTTCTGGAACAGTTATTGTCTCATTGTCAGAAGTCACTTAGGATGTTGAGGTCACTTCTTTCTTGTCTACTGTTATTTCAGCATATGCCACTGAACTGTCCTTTTGTTCCATCTTCTGCTGAACTAAGTTGTGATTCGCTGCATGCAGTATTCCATGTCTGCCCTGACACACATCCACGGTAGCCATCCTGACTCACTAAGACTGTCCTCCCCTTGCCTTGAAACCACAGTTTTCTGGGTATTAAACTTCAAGAATCTTCTGGTCATAATGCAGACAGGACAACTGTCTACTCTTCTGGGAGGAACAAGAACAAGGAGAGGAGGGGATTCTCAGTGTTTCGAGAGCGAGAGGTCAGCACTGGCTGAGCTGTGCTACCTTCTCCCCACTCCTTATTCAGTCCCGTGACAATATGTATTTCTTATCAAAGGCATGCTGTAATTACAATTGAGAGACCAAATATGCGTATTTCTGCAGATTTTGCAGCAACTGTGGCTGTAGCAATAGGGTTAAAGAATGATTTTATGGGAAGAACTAATTGCCTGCTTTTTGATATGACAAGAACCCCACAGAAAATGATGCCTCCAACAGTTTTTCATTGCCACAGGAATGTCTTTACCAAGTTGTTACCTAGGAATGATAGTGAGATACACAGACAGCCATATAGACGCGTGTCCAACAGTTCTACTGTTGTATTTGTTGCCATGGGAACCTGTTTACTGAGCTGTTTGCCTAGCAGTAATGAGAGGCATACATACACAGATAGACATGGGGGGTTAGGAAGTACACTGTTGAGATGGGCTCATTACCCATGACATACAAAACAAGTTTCATAAGGATTGGTTGAGGCATTCAAAAGTCAACAGGTGAGGATTCACAGTCACACAAACAGCATGCAGATTGCATAAGCTTTCTTTCATTTTTTCAATTAATGAAAGTAGGCTAACACTAGATTAGGAATAAAATTTCTTCTTTTAGGTGGCTGTGGAGGACCAAATATGGTATTCAGTGATGTGTGGCTACTTTCACTGACCGATCCAGTTTGGACATGGCAAAAAGTTTCAGTAAGAAACTCCCAGTGGGGTGCAACCCACATGTGGTGCCATCCTGCATGCAAGGTACTGGCTTTCATTTCACTGCTTCAGATGCACATTAACAGCTTGAATTAGTTTAAATTATTGTTCATAGCAGTATATCCTGATACAGTCCTTGGTTTCCTGTAATCATACAGGTGTTTTACTCATTAGGCAGGAGATCAGTCCCCAGTAAGGTCTCTGCCTTCACACGAAGCTGGTTCATGATCATGTATATCATAAGTAAGACGTAACCTGTGAGCCCAGTATTTTGGCTGTCATTACTGTCGTTTCAGAATTAATTAAATAATTTTCTTGGGGAATAAAGTGCGGCCGGCACGTAAGGCTGACAACCTTACTGCCATTTTTGAGCTGATTGGCTAGAAAATGTGGGACCCTCAATGTCTCACAGCCCTATGGGCCTTCACGGCCTGTTACAAGGATAGCTTTACTTTACTTTATTGTCGCTTCATTTGTAAAACTAGATGTGACTCTTTTTTGCTGATTCTTATAATGGCTGTGTAGCATATAAAAATGCCAGAACAGTTTCCTGATATACTCTTAAAGGACTTAGTGAACTAATTAAAAGACATTCTCCAGAGATTTGGGTTAAGTGTACTGCAACCGGTTAAGAGAAGTTTTGGTGCTAACTATGTAAGTGAAGAAAACGGTCACTACATATTATAGTACTGCTTTTCTCTTATGTGTTTGTTAATTATGTGTATCATTATTTGTATTACTATTTTAGTGTATTAGCACTTATTACCAGGCCCTAGTGAGAAAGGTCAGGAGATCAAAACAGAAAGCTGTTACCAACAATTGGTGCAATATGTTGTAGATTGGCCAACGAGTAGTCATCTTCAGCCGAAATCCTGTATCAAGTGCCCCCACATTTACCTACAATGCACAGTGGAATACTCCATCACAACTACGGGTTAGCACTGCCAATGTCTGGGTTCCCCCTCGAGAGGAAGATGTACCAGCAGATGTTGTTAATAGGAGGTTTGTTTTTCATTTGCAGTCCAAATTTAAATTTTGCAACATAACTTTTGCAGGGAATTGCATTCAGTAATGAAAAGCTGGTTTCTTTGCAACTAGATATGTGAAGAAAAATTCATAGTTTATGGGTTAAGTTCACTGCCTTTAAAAGAACTGAAAAATAATGTTGGATGAAAATACATTTTGAAACAAGGTCTCTTATCATAAGGGAAGAGCACAGATTGAGGATACTGGAAACAGAGTGCTGAGGAGAATATTTGGTCCATTTGTCTATAATCCGTCCAACTTACAACTAGCACTAGTAAAGACAACACCACACGTCGAGGAAGAAACACAAACCAGGAGAAAATAACTAATGTGAGGAACAAGCTGCCAAGGTAAACATCTTATATTTTACGGAAATGAAGACACCCTGAGTGAAGTAAAACAATAAGTAACAAAGTATAAAAAAAATTTATCTCATTTTAATTAAAAAGAAGACCACAGTGCGTGGTTTTTAAAATGAATTAGAACAGTGAAACGGTGTAGCAGTTTTGCCACAATCTTATGGAATATCTGGGGGGTGGGGGGAAACTGAAGATGGCCGTTTGAGGCCGAAACATGTAGTGTTAGAGTGTGTATTAAAGTGAAAAATAAAAAGTGTTGTAATGTGGACGGATTATAGACAAATAGATGCTAATGTGAACAATTGCAACAGGATGCTGAAATACAGAAGAAGAGGAAGCAACAGCAGAATGATGAAAGTATGCATACAAGCATTTAGTTGGAAAACTTGTAGGGAAAAGATCAATTGGATGACTTGTGTGTAAATGGGAAGGTAACACTAAAATGAATAGGGTTTCAGGGTCGCTTGAATTAGATTAAACTGACTTCAGTTAGGATCCAGTAGCAGGTTCTTGTGAGCACAGTAACTATTCCGGTTCCATAAAGGCAGGGAATTTCTTAATAAGCTGAACATCTATGAGTTACTCTAGAACTCCACTCCCTGGAGTTAGATCAAAATATATTTTTGTCATGATTTCTAGAAAACAGCAGGGCAGTTCTGTGACTGTAAAGTAACATGTATGACAGACTTTGACATTCATGAAACTAATTTGGTTTCTCTGCGAGAGAAAGGAACCACTTTTTAAAATATGTTTTACAAATCATAACTCATAAACTGATCCACATAGATGACAGCAGAGGCATACCCAGGAAAGTATAACCGTATTTACACAAATACTAGCTTCCTATCACTATTAGTAAATAATCAAGTACCGGTGTTTCCTATTATCACTGATAATTTCCAATAAACTACTGGGTCTCTGCTATGGTTATTTTTATCCAGCGTGTAATTCCTCATCCACTTCTCCCGCATGCATATCTCTGTTGTGGCTTGCCTTGATTTTCATATCATTATTTTTTTCTCCTATTTGAGTATGCCAACTAGAGGGGAAATACTGCAGTTACTTAAAGTTACTAGTATCTGCATGACCGCCTCTGTGGTCTGGTAGTCAAGAGTTCCTGGCTACAGATCGAGAGGTCCCGGGTTCGATTCCCGGCGCTACCAGATTTTCTGAGAAGTAGTGGGTCTGGAACAGGGTCCTCTCAGCCTCGTGAGGATATTTGAGGAGCTATTTAGAGGAAATAGTGCATCCAGTCTAGAAAACCTAGATTAATGGCAGTGGGGATCTGTTGCGCTGACCAGGCAACACCTTCTGTCTCCTAAAGTTGGCACTAATTTCGCCGACAAGCGAAGGTCGCTTGGTTGGTATAGTTCACTTGCGGACTACAGGCTGTGGAGTTTGTTTGTCTTTAGTATCTGCATGACTTGGTTGATAAAATAACATACTTCATAATATTGTCATGCTGCTCGTGTTTTAAAAAAGGGAAGACTAATTGTGAACATTAAAAGGTAAAAGGTAAAGCTATATCCCTGTAAGAGGCCATGGAGGCTCATATTTGGTGAGACATCGAGATTTCGACACTTTCTTCAGATTTGGCTCACAGAGGGCAGTGAGGTCAGCTTTATGTGCCGACAGCCCTTTACTCCCAAGGAAGATTCCTGGTACTCATTTCTGTTAGAGGCTGAGGCAACCCCAAGGCCATAGTGTGGCTGGAAGGATTAGGTCAATTAAAAAATCCAGTAACCTCATCAGGAATGAAACACACGACCTTCTGGCTTGTACCATAGTGCCTCCTTGTGAACATTAATTTCTAGCATAATGAAGTAACAGAGAAGCCTGGGGCATGGGTTTCACATGCTGTTATGAGCTGTAGTAGTAGTTTTCCCACCTTTCTCTGCTAAAACTTAATCATCTTAACTGCTGGAGACTGGCATTAGAATACAAAATTCCATTGTAATTTTCTCATCTGAAATACATTATGAAACATATGTCTGAAAATTCAATATGGATACTTAAATACCTGTCACTCACTGTATAGTGTGCATACTGTTTCTTTTAGGGCATCAGAGGGGTTGGTTGAGGCTCGGCCAGCAGATAGGGATCTTAATGTCAATGGGCGTCGTGGAATCCTAGGTCCCAGGTCTACAACAGCAGGAAGTGGTCA